CACACATAGGTATCAAAGGCCTTAGAAAATACACTCAGCCACTTCATTAGGCACACCGCTTCCACTGCTTATTAATGCAAATATCTAATTAGCCAGTCACATATCTAGTTAGCCAGTCACATGGTGGCAACTCAATCCATCTAGGCATGTGGGTTATGCTCAAGATGACCTGATAAGGTTCAAACTAAGCATCAAAATAGGAAAGAAAGGTGATTTTTATAGTGACTCTGTATATGGCATGATTATTGTCTCAGAAAGGCTGGCCTAAATATTTCAGAAACTGATGATCTACTGGGATTTTCACACACAACCACTTCTAGGATTTGCAGAGAATGGTCCAAGGAAGAGAAAATATCCAGCGAGTAGCAGTTCTCTGGGTGAAATGCCAGAGAGCATCATGGCCAGGCTGCTTCAAGCTGATCAGAAGGAGACACTAACTCAAATATCCACTTGTTACAGCCAAAATATGCAGAACAGCATCTCTGAAAGCACAACACATCAACCGTTCAAGCAGATGAGCTACAATAGCAGAAGACCGCACCAGGTCCAACTACTTAACCAAGGCTACAATTTGCATGGGCTCACCAAAATTGAAGAAGGTTGCCTGGTGTGATGAATCTTGAGTTCTGCGGTGACATCCAGATAGTAGGGTCAGAATTGGGCATAAAAAACACAAAAACAAGGATCTATACTGTCTTTTATCAATGGCTCAGAGTACTGGCGGTTGTAATGTGTGAAACATATTTTCATGACACATTTTAGGTCCCTCAGTATCAACTGAGCATCATTTAAACCCCACATCCTAGAGCACAGGTGTCGAACTCCAGGCCTTGAGGGCTGGCATCCTGCAGGTTTTAGATGTGTCCTTGATCCAACACAGCTGATTTAAATAGCTAAATTGCCTCCTCAACATGTCTTGAAGTTCTCCAGAGGCCTGGTAATGAACTAATCATTTGATTCAGGTGTGTTGACCCAGGGTGAGATCTAAAACCTGCAGGACACAGGCACGCAAGGCCTGGAGTTCAACATCCCTGTGACCTAGAGAATTGTTGCAGACCACGTTTATCCCTTTATGACTATAGTGTCCCCATCCTCTGATGGCTGTCTCCAGTTAGACAATGCTACATGTCAGAAAACTCAAAGTATGACAGTAAGTTCACTGTACTCAAACAGCCTTCACAGTCAAATTCAATAGATAACCTTGGGTAGAACAGCAGATTTGTACCATAGAAGTTTAGGCCACAAATTCTCTGCAACTGTGTGGTGCTATCATATCAACATGGACCAAAATCTCCGAGGAATGTCTCTAGCACTTTATTGAATCTATGCCATAAAAGATTAAGGCAGTTCTGAAGGAACTGAACTAAAGGAGTCCAACTCTGTATTAGCAAGGTGTAGCTAATAAAGTGTAAAGTGTCCGGTATATATATTCACTGCAAACATCACAGTAAGTTCAATGAAAAAGTCAGCTCAAAGGTCCATCTGAAGCACCTTACCTTCTTTTATCTTGTAATATACATACTTTTTGATGCTGGTGGTGAGATGAACAGCACCACATGAAACGGAATTACAGCTCAAAAGAAATCCCAAAGGGGCAGATGGGGTCATGAAATAGCAGTGCATAACTGAACTATTTATTGGAGGGAAAATGCGCTGTACTTTCATGCGGCATAGTTTCCTTTGGAGTGTGGAGCAGATTTACCTCCATAACAGCATCTCTGAAACCAGTAGGGTGCATGACGCAACACAAGCAGCGTGTTAGAATTGCAAATATGTATATGCTGTGGAGGCTAACTAAAACAGCTGAAATGTGTGCGAGGCAAAAAGCAAAAGCCTGTTTAGCTGTGCGTCCTCGGGTGCGCTGGCTCTTTGCTTAAAAAGTCAGAAGCTTCCCTATCAGTTTTGACTGGCATCATGTGTTCTCAGCCACAACCAAAATAGCTCAGGATTCAACACTTAGGAGCGCCTCTAAATACTTACCAAAATACTCTT